CCCCAAAACCCCAAAACCCCAAAACCCCAAAACCCCAAAACCCCAAAACCCCAAAACCCCGAATATTGTAACTCTTATTGAATTTCATTACTATTAAATAGAAAATTATCTTCGATTTGTCGGTGAAACACTACATATAAACCTCTAAAAGAAAAAGGCTAATTTAGGACCAATTCCTGGCTAGTTTACAACACAACAGATGCAGAGAGATTTTGAGGCATCTTTGCTTTGATAGATAAGATTTGAACAACAATTGGTCTCACAATTAGCCTATTTTTATGAGCGAAATTGCAAAAATAACAAACTTTTTGAATTAGAAACCCTTAATCAAGATTTCAGGTACTTGATGGACAAGCGAGGATGATAAGTAACAATAAATTTTATTGTAATTTAGCATTTTGGCAAATTTTAGAAGAGTTGAGATGGAGTTTATAAAGTCCAAAGAGTAATATTGTTTAGTAAGATTCTGATGCTCAATTTTTACAAGAGCTATCCAGGTGTATATATTTTGAATAATATTGCTGTAAAACAACAATTCAGACTTAAAGAGATTCATGAATAAGAATTGTTGAAAGATAATCCAATAAACCGATGAGCAAGAAAAGACCTTGGATTTAGTATGAAATAAGGTTGATATACATTAATAACTTATCTATTGAGTTTCTAATCGACTTCAAAGGATTTTGTGAGTTTATTCTTCTTTATCCTTAATTGACCCATTCTGCTGTTCTCGAGCTTTTGATTTAGATCTTCATTCTCCTCTTCAAGAGTATCCATTTTGTTATCCTCATCAGTTACTCCTAAGAAGAGGTTTGAAGGTTCTCCGTTGGCTTGGCTGAGGTGCTTTGACAATGTCTTTTTCTTCTTATGGTATGATCCCATTGGTTGAACTCCTCCATCTTCAGAGTCATCACCCAAGTCTCAATCACTTTCAACTAATTTCTCAGAAATGAAGTAAGACTCTGAGCATTTTGTACGGGCACTCTTGTGCCTGATGGATAGCTTATCTTCAGAATTCTTGAGAAGCTCCTCCATTTCTTGTTGATCATCCCAATTTGGGAAATCTCTATTGTATTCGAATCCTATATAAGTACATAAATTTAGATGTAAAGAGAATAGCAACTGCACTCGTGAATAGATACTGAATTTGGAATGGCTATTAAGCAAATATTGCATCTAAATTACCTTCAAGCTCCAGCATCTCTTCGACTGTTTGCCCCATTTCTTGTGCTAATTTCTTAACTTCCCGATTAGACCGTTGATCGTACACATATAGGCTATTTCTAAATTTCTCTTGAATATGTCTTCTATTGTTGTAGCTCGTTCTGTTAAGTTCTTTGTTGTAAGTATTCTTCAAAAATACCTGTCTGATGGGCATCTTAAGAAATGCCTTTGGGACATGACAGGTATACAGGTCAGGGACCCATGGAGGAATAGCTTCTTTATTAGCGATCCTATCCCAGTCTATTCCATCAAAGAATGCATGATCCATGATTTCAGAGCAGTCCTTGGGTCGATCAAGTGGATACCTAGACAGTAACCACTCGATGAGATCAACTGCTACCTCATCTAATTCCGGTGGGAATCAGATAGAGCCGCTGACTATCCTCTTTTCAAGCTTCTTAGGGTCTCTTGAATGGAAAGGTGGGAATCCAACTAGCATTTCATATAGAAGACATCCTAGAGTATAGAAATCTACTGTCCTGGAATGCTCGTATCCGAGTATCATCTCTGGAGGCAAATATTCAGGTGATCCACAGAAAGTAGTACTAGTCTCATCTCTATTCCGCATTTGTTTAGACAGACCAAAATCTGATACCTTTAGGTGTCCATCGATGTCAATTAGGATATTTTCTGGCTTTAAGTCACGATACATTATATTCTGAGAATGTATATAGTCCAGTGCAACTAGTATCTCTGCGAGGTAAAATTTCACTATATTTATATTTAAATCCTTCTTAGGAAAGTGAGTCATAAAGTGAAATAGGGTTCCGCCAATTCATGGATCCATTGCAAAGTACAGCTCATTCTCCGTTTGAAAAGTGTAATGCAAACCTACGATATAGGGCATATCAGTTAGCTTTTTCATGATGTCCACCTCGGCTAGATATACTCGTTTGTTGGTTTTTAAGAAAGTACTGTCCTTCTTTATGATTTTAATTGCATATAGTTTTCCAGTATCTTTCTTTCTGGCTAAAACTACGTTGGAATAGCCTCCACTACCTATCACCTTGAGATAATCGAAACTCTGCTTGTTCACCCTCTGATTCACCTCCGGTGATTCATCATCATCAAGTTTTGTAAAATGTACTGTAAGAGAAGTTGTTTCTTTAATAGGGTTCAAAGAGTTATTAGGGAAAGTGAGATAATAATCCATCGAAGGCAGTCATTCGAGGGTTTTTATGCCAACAATCTTTCTGCGAGGTTGATCTCCAAGCTTTCCAGCGTCGTAAAGACTGTCATACAACTCCTTCGATTCCTCTAGGAGCCATCCAACAGTCAAATCTTCTCTGTCTAATTTCACAATTTCAGTTCTCCCCTTGATAAAGTTCATTTTGAGAACCTTCTTGCCGATCAGCGCTGATTGATTTTTATGAATAGTTTTGTTGCAGTCAGAGTCTCTGTCCTGATACTTTATCTTGTAATCACTAGGCACGAATTCTAAGGAAGGAATTACCCCCATAATAAATCAGTATTTTTATTATTATTGGGGTTTTGGGGTTTTGGGGTTTTGGGGTTTTGGGGTTTTGGGGTTTTGGGGTTTTGGGG